GAAGTCTGTGAAAACTGCAACCAGGCTTCTGTTAACAGGCTGGTACAGTTACGAAAGAATTTGGACATTCTCTGTGGAAATGTTTGAGCTTATATGTACATGTCTCTATAGAAATATGCATGCGTGCAGAAGGAAAGAATGAACAAACTTGTGAAATCCTCTGCTGTGAAGTCCCCTCTGCTGCATTATGTCCTTCTGGCCATTTCTGCAGCTGCTGTATTGATTGAATAGTTGTGACATGGCTTGCTGTTTGGACAAGTCAGTTTATCTCCATGAAGACAATGTAAGCATTGAATTTGACAAATACTTTATATTAGAAGTACAAAGTACAATATTCTTCTTCTTCTGTTACTATTAGACGTATCTTCCTTCTCAGAATAAATTACCAAACACTCTGTGGGTAATTGTTATCAAAAGCAGTCCTTTGTCATTACTGTTCCACTAGGTTTTAGACAGCTTGATACTGGTGACTATAAAAAATTTTGCTGATTTCATGCATTTGTAATTTTCTTAATAAGCTGGCTTTTAATTTAGCTTATTCCTTCATCAGCTTTCTGCAAATGAAAGACGATTCTGAATATTTTAAATTAGCTGTGACAAAGCTTTTAGAATTTAGTAAATAGTTTTTCTTTCTCTTTTATTATCTCAGGCTTTTTTTTTTTTTTTAATTTCACCTCGCTCCCCATTTGTATTCATTTCAGTTTCTGTCTTCATGGCTTATACTTTTCTCACTTTCCAGTTTCTCATATCTGCAAATATGGGTAACTTTTTCCATGTCAGTACTCTTAACGGCCTCTTAGTACAAAGAAAGATCTGAGTCTCTAGCACCTTGCTGTGTATGCTCCCAGAAGAATAAAAGCAATAGACTTTTTCTTCACATGGATATTTAGACCCTGGTAGAAAGCAGACAAATACTTTTGAAGAAACTAGCAACAGACTTTGCTAATTTTGCTAAATAAGGACATAACAGCAGCAACCTTCCCTTCAAAGTTGTGTTGACAGAAATATATCCAAAACTGGAGTGACTTGCAGCATGGAAAATACCTCGCTCTTACAGTTCAGGCGCTCATTTCCATTGTTCAGATATGTGACTCTCAAATTGCTTTTTAGATTGACACGTGTCTTCACCTGGCCTTTGATGTAGTCCTGTGGGCTTTCTCACAGCGTGTGCCATATTTCCAGTTTCGTGTTCTTGTATTTGAGAAGCTTGTTATGATGTTTTCATCCTTTTAATTAAGGTAATTCCTTGCTTTACGGGAAGGAGTGCATAACCTGAGGAAAGAGGAGGTCATGGGAAGGCTCTTTCTGCTCTCGACCATGAGCATGGCTGGTGTCTCTTTCTTTTGTTACTGATGTTACCTGCGGCCCACCTGGCGGAAGAGTCACACTGACGAACAACGATAGTTTAGACATAATAGGCTTTACTAATATCCTGCAGAAAAGTATGCCTCTGACTTGGTGTGCTGCCTGCCTGAAGTCAACAGGCCTAGTCTTGTCCCTAGAGCTGCTTGCATGCTTAATTACCTGTGGGAGGGGAGCCAGTGCAAATATGCCTATTTCATCATGAATCTTGAAGTGGCTGTGAATTTTACCTAGATTTGCGAGTTCCTTCATTTTCAGCTAATGAAACACCTTGTGTAGAATTACTCATCTAATTGGATCTACTAATACTACTTATAAACAGACAAGGAAGATGCCCGGAAAGGAGACTTGAGTGAACGTAGAGGTAGTTGAATATGGTGTCAGTGCAATAGTGTGAAATGTGCTTTCAGTAGAGCAAGACCTTGGCTTGCTCTATTATGCTGAGGTATATTCGATGTGGAAATGCTTGAAGCAAAACTCTGGCTTGTGATTCAAGGTTGTGATATTGAATTTGAGTAGTTACTTACACAGGCATGGTACACAAGTATTTCACAAAACCAGTTTCAGAAGCAGGGAATGGGTTGCTATCTAAAGGTCGTTAATTAGTATTTGCTGGCAACATGTTGGAAAACCTTATCTTCTTGAAAAAGTAAATAGAGCTTGCAGATACAATGTGAACACTATGTTTTTTCAAGGCTGTTCATTTTCTATTTACATAAGTTGCTTCTTAAATAGTTTCAATTTACCTACTAATATTATTTATACAATAAATACCAAAGCATCTTGTGTGAAGGAGAGAAGTCTTTGGGTATTACTCAGAATTCGGTGAAGGGAAAGGGATTTCTTCCATTTTGAACTGTAACCGCTTCTGTAACGATTGTTTGACCACAGTCAAAGCTGTACCATGCTTGGAGGATATGATAACATGAAGCTGCTTGCTGGCTTTATGCTACCTTGGGATTTCATTTGCAGTGAAAGACTTTAGTGGGGATTTTTTTTCCTTGTACATTCAGTGGTACAAAGCAGTTGTAACTGTCTCAAGGGCTAGGTTATTTGATTAGAGTAAGATAGAAAAAAAGTATAGCTGTCTGCAGTATGATAAAGATCTAGCAGATTTACAGACTTTCCTTTGCTCTTACAGCTGTATGGTCTGTGAAGCTACATTAAAAGAAATGGGATAATGCTATGGAATTTAAAAAAAAAATCTTTTAAATACTTTGCTAGTAGATCCATACAAGATAAAAATACATATTATTTTGTGTTGCAAAGTATGAAATTCTCTCTGTAGGGAAGTTTTCAAAACAACTGCTGTTTTAGTAGAAAATACATGCAAGCTCTGAAAAATGCTGTTATTGAAAGAGAATTTGTGGACTTTCTGCTTGCTAGTCCCATTTTATAATGTCTGCTGAAGCTATTATGTAAAAGATCATCCTTCTGTCTTGCAAAGATGGAAGAGTGGGCAGCTTATCTAAGATTAACCTTAGTTTTGTACTTTGAAGAAATTGAGTGAAATATGGGGGTTAATGGAGAACTTTTTCTTTATCTATTGTAAACTGGATGATTTATATCAAATATTTGTGGTGTAAAACATAAAACATTAGTCCAAGGCTAAGGCCTAGATTGCCTGTATCTTGGATACACAAGTTACAAATGTATAAAATGTATAGTTTCATGGATTACTTCAATAAAGTGCAATTATAAAAGTTCTCACATGCTTACCTACTGTTATATCAGGTAGGGGTGCAGTTCATTTTTAATTCATACTATGCTTGAAAGGAAGCATTTTAGTGGAATCACCTGAGGAATAATTGCTCACATTACGTAAAGGAACTCATATGGCCATGAAGATCTCTTCCTTACTGTGTAGTAATAGAAGCAGTCAAGAGAAATTGCGGCTAGATCAAAAATCTGTGAATTCCATCTTTCTCTTGGGGATTTCTGAAGCCAAAACACATGTGAAGGCACAAGTCGGCTGCCCCATGCAAGCAGAGCAAGTTTGGAAGGTGTCAGGGAGGCTGAGCAAACTCAGGCTGGCTGCCTAGCAGGTACGTGCTGTGACGACAAGTTGAACTTGTGGCACAAGCATCATAAAGTTAATCTATGAATGACCGTAAGTGATAAATGATCATTTTTCCAGGGATACCCTGGTTGCTGTTGCTCCACTTATGTGTCAGGACGTCTAGAATTTCCCTGGCAAATGACCAAAAAACCTGTATTGGTAGGTGGTGTCTCAAAGACATCAGTAACAGTAGAACCTGTGGGTATGTGATAGTACAAGCAAGATGATTGGGCACTTGGGAATAGTTGAAAGTTTACAAAGTGCTATTGAAAAATGCTGTTGAGGTGTCATACATGCTGTTTCATGAAAGGCTGTTGAATTTTTCAGGAAAACACCCTTTTGATCCTATCTTGCTGAACTGGTAAAAAGTTAGAAACATTTGATGGTACCTCATTTGGACTTTAGCTTAATATTCATAATGTGCAGTTGTATATTACAAGTTACTATACATATAGGTCCTATTAATGTATTAGGTCTATTTTCCTTTACATATTATTATGTGCTTGTTAAAGCCAAGCAATTATTTATGAGGGAATCTACATCTTGATTTTTTAAAAAATGGATTTATTATTTGAAATACAGTGATACAGAAATACAACAAGACCAAGCTGTGTTACTACCATTGTTACATTTGCCTGTGATGGGATTGCTCCCCCCCCACCCCTTCAGTTACAGAGGTTTGGCTACTAGGCACTGAAACTGTTAAACTAGGAATAATCTATTGTTCAACATGGATCAAAGGATACAGCCATTATATAGCCAAATATAGTATTTACATTTTATTAGAGTTCAAAATCCTCCGTCAGGATTTGGGGGACCTGTTGTACTGTGTGTTGCAAAAGTAAGGGGATGGATCTGTTTCCCACTTTTCTTTTTTGTTTGACTTTTCAAGATCCCTGACACACTTTAATCATGAGAATTTTGTAGGTGGTGATTAATTTTTGAGTGTTCAGTTTGGAGAACCTATGAAATTTGTCCTACGTCAGGTATTGAACATAAACATTCCTGTTACCTTCAAGTGACACTATAGGTCCTTGAGGATCATGAACATCCCAAATTTTGGCATCTTCTCTTCCCACACACCCAAAAATCAGCAAATAGTTGAAAAGTTTGGCTTTAATTTTTCTGAATACAATATTCCCATTTTGTAGATGAAGAGGAAGGGAAACTAAGGCTAATAACCACATGATTACAAAGTTGTAAAGTTTAAATATTTAATTAGAGGTGACACAGCAGTACTGAACAGAACAACGTGGGATTTGCTTTTGGCAAAAACAACCTCTTCTGACATCAGTTTCATGAATCAGTGTTTCTGGTGCTGGTAAGTTAACAAAATAAGTGCCAAATCTGCAGAGGGTAGCAGTAACCTTGACAGCCAAATGAAGAGCAAGCGGGTAGGATGAGCGAAGAATAGGAACCTGGCTTTACCGATGCTTTTCCTTTCCGATATGGCAGTTCTGCTTGAACGTCAGGCAGACAAGAAACAGGTTAGGCACCGAAGGGCTGCCCTTTTTTCCCTGCAAATGGTGGCAAACAGGCCCACGTCTCATCGGTGTCTCCACTCTGGCAGGTTGGAAGGATGAGTAACGTCCGGTAGCTGCGTACCACAGGTGGCTGCCAGGCGCTTCAGCAACCCGGGAATAAAATAGATCTCCTCTCTGGAAGTACAGAGAGAGCCCACGTCCGCACGGCTGGCCAGCCCTGCCCCAGCACCGCGTGGGCAGGGACGTGGTCTTCGCTGGCTGCGGGTGCCGATGCCTGGCGGTGGCGGCCGAGGAGGAAGGCTTCGCAGAAGGCCACCTGGGGCGGCGTTAAGGTCTGACCCAACACGCAAATAAAAAGAGTGAAAACGCGTTCTTGTCGAGTGTGTAAAAATCTTGTGTCGGGGGAGGCGTCGGTCGGCGGCCGGGGAGGACGCGTGGTCCTGGAGCGGCGGCGGGGGACGCCCGGGGCGGGAGCGCGGCCGCTGGCCCGGGAGCAGCCCCGGCCGGGCGGCGGGTGGGGTCCCCTTGGGAGCGCAGCGATTCCCACGGCCCCGTGACAGCTGAGGGACGGCGATGCCAGGGGCTCCTCTGGCCATCTTTAATGTGGGCAATATGGTAGAACTCCGCACCTCTTCGGTACCTCGATTGAACGTTTTTTGTAGTCAGCACTGGCGACCGTAATTGCCTCCTCGGGCTGGGGGAGGGGGGTGGCAGGAGGAGGAGGAGGTGTGCGGGAGGCGCCTGCTCCCTGCCCGTACCAAAGATGGCGGCCGGGGAGCCCGGGGCGCCGGG